CCGGGGTACTCCAAGTCCATCCCCACCATCAGGGGCTCTGGTGAACAAATACTCTGGGGCTTAGACTCCGTACGCTGGGGACGACCGATCAGTGGAGTGCTAGTGGTACCGCCATGCGGTCCCTTACAACCTCTGTCCAACTGTTAAGCATGGGGTTGGATCAATCATGCTTTGGGGTTGTGTTGCAGCCAGTGGCACAGGGAACATCTCACGAGTAGAAGGAAAAATGGATTCAATAAAATTTCAGCAAATTTTGGATGGTAACTTGATGCCATCTGTGAAAAAGCTGAAGTTAAAGAGAGAGGATGGCTTCTACAAATGGATAATGATCCTAAACACACCTTGAAATCCACGGGGGATTACATCAAGAGGCGTAAACTGAAGGTTTTGCCATGGCCTTCACAATCTCTTGACCTCAACATAATTGAAAATCTATGGATAGACCTTAAAAGAGCAGTGCGTGACAGACAGCCCAGAAATCTCAAAGAACTGGAAGACTTTTGTAAGGAAGAATGGGCAAAGATACCTCAAACAAGAATTGAAAGACTCTTGGCTGGCTACAAAAAGCGTTTACAAGCTGTGATACTTGCCAAAGGGGGCAGTACAAGATATTAACTCTGCAGGGTGCCCAAACTTTTTGCAGACGCCATTTTTTTGTTTTCTGTTATTTTGAAAGTGTAAATGATGGAAATAAAATCGAACTTTTGTTGACATATTATAAGAATGTCTAATCTGTAATTTGATGCCTTTTGGAGATTTTTCCATCTTTCCTTGGCTTCTTTATGCACATTAATACAAATTTTTTAGCTGGGGTGCCCAAACTTTCGATCCCCACTGTATATAGATATACACACAAAGAACGATAGCACAGCAAAGAGATAACAGGGAGAAGTTAAAGGGTTAAGTTACTTGCCATTTAAGCCTTTGATGTAAGCAGATCCAAGTTGCAGAGTGAAAGGATCTCCCCAGGTGGTATTGATGTTAAAAATGGGAGATGTCTTTAACTAACTTTTTAGGCCTGCTAGCCTGTTTTTTAAAGTCCCCCAGCAGGGGGGTGGCTCTGAGTAACTGACCAATACTCGGTTTAGGGAGGGATTGTCTGGCGGAACCCTAAATTAGAACCAACATGTTTCATAATTCATATTCTGGTCTATAGCTTCTCAGCTGCACGAACGATAGTCCCCTCGCGGGTATATTATTACACCGATAAGTCTAAGGATCATGTAGATATGAATTATGAAATTGTACGTTACACGGTGTACGAGTTCTATGTTTTGGTCCCCCTGAGCGTGCGAAACGAGTGGAGTGACCTACTAAACGATTTGTCTGCCCTTCGCCCATCCGATGATATGTCTGGCATTTATGTATGTCTCTCATATTCCAAAATATGAGACATAGGATAAAAATTTATTTGAGGAATGTTCATTTAATTCTGTCACCTACGCTGCTAGGTTTTATGAGGTTAAAACCTCTTTCAATTCCTGGGAGAGCTACCTTATCTCTGTTACGGGGTGAGAAATTACACAGGTTCTTGGGCAGAGCAGCTCTGTCTCTCTTGGGAACATTGGCCTTATCCTGGCCTAGGTGAGGAAGGCTACACTTTCTCAGACTGCTCGGCACCGAACTAGGGATGCCTTGCCCTGCTGTTGACCCATAACCAGCACACACACATCTGTCACTGTGCCTCTCAGGAAGGGAGGGGGGAAGGAATGAGAAATGGATACCCTTAGCAGGACTGAAACTGCTAATGGTAAAAAAATGGTTGCACCGCGTCCATCTCGGATGTGCGTTTTTGCGACAACTTCCATCATCCAATCATGTGCAAGCAAAAGTGCATTTTTTTTCATTTTCTTTGCACCCGATTGGGTATTCTTTGCAAAGTGAAGCTTTACCTCATTTGCTAAGCTCTGGAGCAAATGCACTTTTCAAATTGCACAGTCTATTTGCTTTTTGTAAATCAACCCCTTTGTGTTCATAACATACATGTATTAAGTCTGAATTCCCCGTAAGCTATACATTATGTTGAATGAAAATAAAGAATTAATAAAATGTGTTCTGTTCCCCATGAGCCAAAGTACTTGTAGTACTCCGTGGCTTTCCAGCAACACAGCTAGCAAGGAGACAGCTGCTTTGACACATCACTTTTCTCCATCTCCAAGCAATTGCCCACTTACCTGGAAAAGTGTAGCTGACAAGCCCCCTCCCTCTGCATTCTTTGTGCTTGTCTTGGTGCAAAGAGATGGAGAAAAATGCTGCATTTCAAAGCAGCCATCTCCTTGCTAACTGCGTTGTCGGACAGCCTTGTAGGGAGGAGGAGTGCCCTGTCCAGCCTCACAGCTAGCCTAATGCTGCATGTTGAAAGTTTTTCTCTATCATTGGCTACAGCCATTTGATCAATTCTATCAAGACTACACTGATAAAAATTCAGTTGGTCTCTGCTTACCCTCCTGAATTTTGATCAGCATGTGGCTAGCTATAGACAGCATATGGGACAATATACACTGCTCAAAAAAAATTAAAGGAACACTTTGAACACATATCAGATCTCAATGGGGAAAAATATCTGATGGATTTCTATACTGATATGGACTGGGTAAGGTGTAAGGATGCCCTGTAAGGATGGAAATGAAAATTATCAGCCTACAGAGGAATGAATTCAAAGACACCCCCAAAATCAAAGTAAAACAATGATGCAGCAGGCTAGTTCATTTTGCTGAAATTTCATTGCAGCAACTCAAAATGGTACTCATTAGTTTGTATGGTCCACACGTGCTTGTATGGATGCCTGACAATGTTAAGGCATGCTCCTAATGAAATGAAGGATGGTATTCTGGGGTATTTCCTCCCGGATCTGGACCAGGGCATCATTGAGCTCCTGGACAGTCTGAGGTGCAACCTGGTGGTGTCAGATGGACCGAAACATGATATTCCAGAGGTGTTCTATTGGATTTAGGTCATGAAAGCCATTCAATGGTATCAATTCCTTCATCCTCCAGGAACTGCCTGCGTACTCTCACCACATGAGGCCGGGCATTGTTGTGCGCCAGGAGGAACCCAGGACCCACTGCAACAGTGTAGGGTCTGACAATGGGTCCAAGGATTTCATGCCAATACCTAATGGCAATCAGGGTGCCATTTTCTAGCCTGTAGAGGTCTGTGCGTTCCTCCATGGATATGCCTCCCCAGACCATCACTGACCCACCACCAAAATGGTCATTCTGAATGATGTTACAGGCAGCTTAACATTCTCTATGGCTTCTCCAGACCCTTTCACATCTGTCACATGTGCTCAGGGTGAACCTGCTCTCATCTGGTAAAAGCACAGGGAGCCAGTGGGTGGACCTGTCAATTCTGGTGTTCAATGGCAAATGCCAATCGAGCTCTGTGGGGCCAGGCAGTGAGCACAGGGCTCACTAGAGGACGTCAGGCCCTCAGGCAACCCTCATGAAACTGTTTCTGATTGTTATTGTTTGGTCAGAGATATTCATACCAGTGGCCTGCTGGAGGTCATTTTGTAGGGCTCTGGCAGTGCTCATCCTGTTCCTCCTTGCCCAAAGGAGCAGATACCAGTCCTGCTGATGGGTTAAGGATCTTTTACAGCCCTATCCAGCTCTCCTAGAGTAGCTGTATGTCTCCTGGAATCTCCTCCATGCTCTTGAGACTGTGATGGGAAATACAGCAAACCTCCTGGCAATGGCACGTGTTGATGTACCATCCTGGAGGAGTTGGACTGCCTGTGCAACTTCTGTAGGATCTAAGTATCGTCTCATGCTACCAGTAGTGACACTGACCCTAGCCAAATGAAAAACTAGTGAAAAACAGTCAGAAAAGATGAGTAGGGAACAAAATGTCAGTGGCCTCCACCTGTAAAACCATTCCTGTTTTGGGGGTCATTTCATTGTTGCCCATCTAGTGCACCTGTTATTAATTTCATTAACAGCAAAGCAGCTGAAACTGATTAACAACCCCCTCTGCTACTTAACTGACCAGATCAATATCCCAGGAGTTTAATTGACTTGATGCTATTAAAAGTGTTCTTTTAATTTTTGTTTGAGCAGTGTACTACATGGACTTTGTACATGTACTTTGTTCCCTGGGGAAAAGAACACATTAAAGGGGTTCGAAAGGCAGAAGGTTTTTTACTTTAATCTAATCTTGATCCAGCAAGAGCAGGGGCTCTCTGCCTCCTCACTGGCTCATAGTCAATCACAGCCAGAAAGAAGAGAGTTTGTGGCAGGGCCGAGCAACGCTGTGTGTTAATGGACACACAGAGCCAGCTTGGGAGTGAGTTTACATGAGCTTGCTAGGAGGGGCAGTCAGAGGGGAAGGAGCCAGGAGTACCAGCAGGGGACCCAATCAGAGGAGGATCAGGGCTGCTCTGTGCAAAACTATTACACAGAGCAGGTATGATGTTTGTTATTGTAATTAAAAAGAAATTGAGCATTTACAATCACTTTAATAAAAGCAGATGTGACATTTTGTGTTTGTGCCTGAGGTTCAGCTTTAAAGTATACGTCAAGGCAAAATTCAAAAAAGCATATTTAGTACATCTCTGGAAAACATGCACATTCTCCCATGTTTTGTTTCTGTGATGCAAGTATAGAAAAATACCTGTTAATGTGCCAGAAATATACAAAGCTTCTACAGTCCTTTTTGACATGACAGCACAACTCTCCATTCCAACACACGTCAGCGCTGCTTACTTAATTTCGGATGGATTCTCACACAGGCAAGAGAGCACAGGACGTTTTTTCAGAACACAAGATTTCAGGCAAAATCAACATGCAATGTATTTTTTAGCACTCATTGAACATATATAGCCAAACACTTTCAATGGTGTATTTAGCAAACCATAGGAGAAGCAAATAAGGGAAGTTAACTGGGTTTATACTGTAAAGTACAGAAAGTCCGTTCTTTTCCTATGTAGAGCAAAGTGTCAAGTTTGCTTTATTGCCCACCTCCCCACCAGCCTCCCCTATTGCTTTATTCAGCCTCCATATCAGGGGCGGACTGACAGCTCATGGGACCCCCAGGCAATAGGGCATCATAGGGCCCCTGTGTCCTTGCCCAAACTCAAAAAAGCCTATGAAAAAGGTACCAGGGGCATCTCATGGGGCCCCCTACTTACCCCGGGCCCTCGGGCACTGCCCGAGTTTCCAAATGGTCAGTCCGTCCCTGCTCCAGGTGCAAAGAAAATACCCATACTCCAGAGTATAGAAGAGGATGTGACTTACTCCCCTTTCTTTCATTTGACAGCACTGGTGTTTGGTGATTGGTTGACCACTGTGACATGGCAACAGAAAGAAATAAACATGTGCGATTTGTTTTGTTACCAATCAAAATTCGGATGACATTATTTGGAGATTTGGATGTATCCGAACCTCTGAATCACAATAGTAATGAATTTCAACAAATTGTAAGGAAGCAACAAATTCATTTGTATTCATTTAGATGACATGATGTGATAGTTTGGGCCTTTGGTTAGTGTTGAAGCATCCAAAATAATGTAATGACATAACAAATAATCTGAACTGATTCGGATCAATTTCGTTTTTATTTTGCATTAACATTTTGATTATTATTATACAGGATTTATATAGCGCCAACAGTTTGCGCAGCTCTTTACATATAAAGGGAGACAGTACAGTTACTATACAATAAAAAACAAGAAGATTAAGAGGACCCTGCTCATAAGAATTTACAATCTAATAGAATATAAAAATGCACTGCATATGAAATGAAAATATATTACAATAAATACAGTAAGGTATAAAAGTGAAATAAGATGATGATTCCTACTTTTTTGTGTTTGGGTTGGAGGGAGGTGAATCCATCAGAATCTATAAATCATAACATAACAATTGAATCCAGAATTAATTTTGTTCCCTTTGTTACTTTAGTTACTCCAGTCAATATCGTCCAATCAGCTCATTCCATTTCTCTTTATGGGTTGAACTAGCAGGGATGCATAAGTGTGTAAGTAACCTCGTGAATTAACACATTAAAATGAATATAGCCATTTTTCCATAATAACTTCCAAAAATACAAATTGATTCGGAACAACAAATATATGAAACAAATTCCAACAATGAATAATTCTAGCATAACGAATGTGACGAAACAAAATGGTTTACTTAACAAATGAATGTGAAACAAAGGTATTCTGTCATTGTTCACATCTCTAGAAAAAAAGTCCTCAGCCCTGTACAGGCTCTCAGCAGAGTGACTCAGGACTAATGCCCCGTACACACGATGAGAATATCAGACGAACGATCAACCGTTATGTTTCGTCTGCTAGTCTCACATCGAAAGTGAAGAGGTTACTAAAGATACAAAAATTCTCCTATGAAAGAAAAGAATTTCGAAAGTGATGTCATGTATTGCGTTGTATTTGTATTGTATTTTAAGATGACTACTGTACTGATTAAACGAAAATCGTACGATCTGGTATCGTACGAGAAAAATGTTTGCGTTTGTCCCTTCGGATATTGTCGTACGAATTGTCGTGATCGGCTCTCAAACGCTGTGTACTAATGATCCGATTATCGGATAATCGTTCCTTGTATGAAAATTTTCCTACGATTTTCTTATAGTGTGTACGAGGCATTACACAGGGATTCATTTCCTCACCCAGAGTAGCTGAGTAGAACAAAGGAAAAGTTAGCTTGTACTGCTTTGGAAGGGGAGCAGAAACCTAATATTTCCAATAGATGCTGGTTTCAAGAAGGTCGAGTGCATGGCCATGCCCAAAAATCTAAGCGTTTGTGCATGTGCTCAAGTATGTGTGCATGAGGCATGCAGAATGGAATGGGCTTTGGCTCCATGTCCTATTTAAAGCACAACTAAGGATAGTTTCTGAGTGGTCTTCAGCATCTGTGGCCCATGATCTGACATGCATTCTGTTATTCTGTGCTTGACCCGGCTTGCCTCCTGACTTTGCTCCAGATCTTCTGCTATCAACCTTGAATTCTGTCTTTCTGCCTGCTGTTTTGGTGCCTTTGCTGCCCATCTGATACTGATCTTGGCCTGCACTCTGACCTTGCTAGTGTTTTGGAATTGGCACCTCTAATTGCCTAGCTGTTGCTGACCTCTGCTTGTCATAGCCGTGTTTCTGCTTCCTGTAACTTCCTGTGCCTGACCAGTCTACAAGCCTTCTGCGCTAGATCCGGTCTGAGCATCTTCAGCATACCATTGGTATCCGGACACTTGTGCCACTCCAGCTACACCCTGTCAGCACCTCCCGGAGGTATTGGACAGGAGGAGTAAGGGAAGCCCACTCGTCAACCTTGATTGGGTACGTGACACCCGGAGAGTTAAACCACCTATTATTCTTTAGGGGATGAGATTTCTGCTCCTGAGTTCTTGGCTCTGCACACCATTTATGGCCTTCATTGGGGCAATAGAAGGAGCTGTAACACACAAAAGTGAGAAGGAACACCAAAAACTTCCAAATGGCAGAATTAGAACCATGGTAAAGAGCTGACAGTGCTAGATAAGGCAAAAGAAAGTGTCCACATTTCAACGTATCCCAAGCACAGATACATTTATTGTTCAGGTTGCACAACATGCACCCCACCAAGACTCCACCTCTCTAACACATTTCACCCAAAACATGCTTAGTCATAGAGAAGAGGGCGGTAGATATCACTGCTACACACAATATTTCATTGGGCTGATCCTTTAATTATCAGTGGGTTGAATCTGTGATCAATCTTTTCTGACTGAGAAAATGTTGCATAAGGCCTGCTCACCAAAGATCTCAATTCTAGCCATATTTGAACTGGCATGATGCCAAGTGAAGTAGTCTGTCACTCTACGATTAACGTATTATACCTGAAATATTATTTCCTCCCCAGCCTTACGGTTCATGGCCCATCCTTTCATTCATTGGATTTCAGAGCTCATTCACACTAGAAACTGTGCGTTTACTGCATGTGCAGTGTTGTGCATTTGACGTATGCTTTTACACGCATTTGCAGTGCATTTTTTCCTAAGCTTGCATTTCTTTTGAGGTCAATTCTATCTTTCTTTTTTGGGGCTTTAATGTGTACTGCATGTTTGTACATTTACATGCATTTGCATGCATTTCTGGGTATTTGCAGTAAAGAAAAATGCAGCTTGTACTTTTTCATGGCACTGCAATAGTATGAACTATGTCCATAGGATAAGTTGCATTTTGGAAATGCAACTTTTTTTTAAAAAATGCACCCTACAGCATCCCACTGCATCTGGTATGATGGGCCCTTACATGTGGATGTTACTTAGGGAGATCTGGATGCAATAAAGGTTGCCTAGGAATGCCCACTCCTCCAGACTGACATCCATCAGAGCATTTTGATATTTGCAATATCCTCGCCAAGAGCTAGCCACCAACCAATTGGGAGCATCAAGGCTGAGAGCTCTTAAGAGGAGTTGAGGACAAGTTGATGTGATGTTTTCAGGAAGTGATGTATGGCACCATTCTTGCCCCTCCCAGCAGGCATGATCTGCTTAAGTTGCATAGAGAAGCATAAATACCCAATGATGATTTCAAAATTGTCATTATGTTAGTGAGGAGGCATAGAAATAAAACAGGGAAGACACAGAAAATATAAGAAGAGTAAACTTTAGCTTTAAGGCTACACGCTCATGGGCTTATTATGGGCAGCACAGTGGCTAAGTGGTTAGCACCTGCCCCTGGCAGTACTAGGGTCGTTGGTTCGAATCCCAGCCATGGCACCACATGCCTGGAGTTTGCATGTTCTCCCTGTGCCTGCGTGGGTTTCCTCCTACACTCCAAAGACATGATGGTACGTGAATTGGATCCTGTCTAAAATTGGCCTTAGTATGTGTATGTATGAATGTGAGTTAGGGACCTTAGATTGTACACCCCTTGAGGGTTAGGACTGATGTGAATGTACAATATATATGTAAAGCACTGCGCAAATTTACAGTGCTATATAAGTACCTGAAATAAATAAATTATTGTACCCCCATCTACACTGGATAGGGCTGGCTAAAAAAAGTAGTGTGAAAAATGCTAATTTGGACACTATTTATCAGTGTTTAGCTGCGTATGAGAGTTAATGTATTCTTTTGGCAAGAATATTCATTTACCTTATTTATTAGGCAGGTAAGTTGCTCTCTAAAGACAGGTTTGAGGCATTTTTTATGCTCTGAATGCTGCTCTCAAATACGAATTTAAAATCAATGTGCATGGCCACATTGGCTGAAATATAACTGCATTCAGAGTCATAAAGAAATAACCAATGAGACTTGTCATGCGATTTGCCACTGTCAAATCGCATGACAAGTCGCACCCTATGATCGGCAATGGAACCCTTCTATTTAGAGTCGCACCAATTTTGAAAGTAGTTCCTGCACTACTTTTTGCGATTTCAGGTGTGACTTGCATAGATATCTGTGTATCTGTGCACCAATGTCTTCCATCCGAAGTGAAGTTGCATGATTTCAAAGTCAGATCCAGTGTGAACACAGGCTTAGTGTTACTAAACCCAGGACTGTACATTCACTATATCTGATCTGCCACAGTACACAGAACATGGAAGTGCAATTAGTCAGTAAATATAAACTGCTAAATACCTTTTCTCATCAGCAGTATATAGCGGTCTTGTGACTTCTATCAGTGTCCAGCCGAGTGCTGGTTAAATCTCTGTCTGGATAGTGCTGATTGGTCCTGTGCTGATCCCATGCACTTTCCTAAGAAAAAAAAAACCTCTCTAGCAATACACACTAAACTGAGCATGTGCAGAGTGACTCCACACACTATTGCCGGCCATAGACGGTTTGAAAATCGGCCCAATTTTTCTGCTGAAAGAGAAATCAGCCAATTTTCGCACTGTTAGTGGGTTAATTGGTCGGCCATTTTTCGGGTTTTTTGCACTTTGAGATTATCGGTCATGTTGGAAAATTTACGGCCGATTTGGATAATTGGCTGATTTTCCCGGCAATGATGGTCAAATCGGCCGATCGTTTTAACGATAAAGAATCGGTGCATGAGCCGTAACCTGCAAGGGACAGAAGTTATGGGGTGAACTTTATGATTTAGTCAGCCGATTTTTTTTCATCGTTGGTGGTAACGTCGGCCGAACAAACGACCGATTTTTTGTTTATCATTCAAAAAATTGGCCAATGTTCAACCCGTCTATGGCCTGCATAAGTCTTATCAGGAGATAAGAGG